TTTGAATTAAGACGTTCTTTTTTAGTTTGCTTTTGACCTCAGAACCATGCAGGGACATTTTCTTACCACCAAACATTTAGTAAACATTTGTGACATGATTGGTTTGTTTCTCTATGCACTGAAAGCCATTATAATCAACTACTGATCGAAAAATATCCCGCAGTGGCAAAAAGTTTGGGACAGGCTTCAGCTACAATATCTGAACACCAAAAATCTGACAGATAAGATCTGCCCAGCAACTTTTTGTATCTGTGTTCAGTTTGGATCTGCCAGAGGCAGAAACAAAAGGTGAGAAGTTAAGATCAGTATTTTGTGTAGGTGATATAATTGCAGGGCACTTGAAATAATTCTCCACACCTCTCCAATCTCCGTCAATCAATTCACAGATGTTTGAAATTTCATGAGACTAAGGTTATCAGGGCTCTGATAATGGCCTTGATATTATACTCCCTAGGAGAAATAAATTATACTACTCCTAGGTGATATAATTTCACTCGGGACATGATATAGGTAGTCTCCAACATCTGTAAATGGATTGACAGAGATTTGAGAGGTATGGGGCACTATTTCTGAGTGTATATGGGTGTACACATGTATATACATACACTGATAATGACAAAACAACTGTTAAGCAAAACTACTGTCAATGTCAATCAACCAGAGGTAAGGTCTGTAGGTTTTTAGACTGTTGGGGTTTTCTTCCATCACTGTTTTGCAGTCATGATGAGGTCTACATACATCCAGTGAAGTGTACCAAGGAAAGGGAAATTGTAGGCTCACACTCTGCAAGAAAAGTGTAACCGTGGGGGCCTATAGATGTCATATCAATATTGATGTATAAGGCATATTTTATAGTCTGGGCATTTCAGAGCAAAGCAAGTGTTCTTAAATGTAATATCTTCAGCCTAGTTAGGAAAAATGTAGACAGCTCTTTAAACTGCATACTAGTGTGAGAATGTGAGCTTTCTATATACTCTCAATGAGGATTTTCACACTTAGTAGTAAACCATCGAAAAGGGGTAGTATTTGGTATTTCATCTCTTTATTCTTAAGTCCATTATTTTTTGTTTATATTCTCATTATATTTGTACTATAGTTATCTGTGATTGCGTGTTTGTTAAAAAGTACATATTAAGATGATGGTTGACTAGAGGTATCAGGAATGTCAAAAATCCTGTTGTTTAATAGTTCATTCACCACTACCACAGTAGTTATGAAGGGAATACACAAATGAACAACAATGACTAGCAAAAACACAATCTCTTTTATTTATAGACACTGCCCCAAATCCCTAATGTTGAGCTCTAATGAAGTAGGGTAAAACTCAATCAACGCTCCTTTTGCCTAAGCTAGTTGTTTCATTGAGTGTACAACCGAATATGAATTAAATCATTGTGACTAAAAGCTGAACCAAACCACACATTTTAGCACTCCCCTAACAAAGAAGCATTTTGCCAGGAAAATACATAAGCTACCAAGAAAGAAGGAATAAAAATCCCAAAGTCAGATATTTCTTTGCACAGTTCTGATTTTATTATATTTTAGAAGGCCATTAAATGTGGAATATAAAGATAGTAAATAGTGTGAAATATCATTTTATTACACACAGGCTTTCATCTATTCCCAAGAATGGGATATCCTGATAACTGCAAATTCCTAGTCCCTTTCTGCTTGCCTTTATAATTTTTTCTGTATTTCAAAAGTTATAATAAATTTATGACTTCTATAGTCAAGATATATTTGGCTGAGGAATCAGTTTACAGTCTACAGTAAAACATGGGAAATAATTCTTTTTCATGACTTAAAAGCTGACCTAAAATATTATGATTTAATTATCTGAGGATCTATCTATGAAATTCACTGATTCATGTGTTATTTTCAACTCTCATAGTAATCAAATGTAGAATAAAAATAATTGCAGATTATTTAATAGACCACAATTAAGTGGTCTGTTTGACCATGTATAGAAGTCTAGTTTATAACCTGCAGCTAATTGACTAATATAAAGACAAGGTGTGAGAAGCATATATTTAGAATACTGTGCCAGTCTATGGTATGCAGCATCTTATTGTCCATTTATAAATAGCCTTGTGTGTATTCTTCTGACTTTGTAGGGTCCACAGACTTTTTAAAAATTGGCTTTGTATTTTTCATGTAGTTTAGATCGTAACAATAGTAATATAATACA